CCGGCGCATTGTTTTCCTCTTCTACCCTCCCTACCATCCCCTCCTCTCCTCTTCCATTTTCCGTGAACCGAATCACTAATCACATACAAACAACAGGAAACACCATCGTCCTGGGCCTGGGCGCCTCCAACCTGCCCCGCGACGCGCCCTACGGCTGGCTCAAATCCCTCGTCTCGATCAGCAGCTTCCTGCTGGGCTCGTTCTGCTTCAGCCGCGCCGGCCGGCTGCTGGGCCCCACGCGGCGCGGCACGCTGTTCGCCTCCTTCATGGTGCAGGTGGCCCTGATCGTGATCGCGGTGTCCCTGATCCAGGCCGGGCTGATCGCGCAGCCGGACGTCAACAGCACCCACCAGCACCACTTGCTGCTGGACCTCATCCCGATCGGCCTGCTGGCATTCCAGTCGGCGGGCTCCATCAACTCCACACGCTCGCTCGGCTACAACGAGATCCCCAGCGTCGTCATCACGAGCGTCTACTTCGACATCGCGTCGGACATGAACATCTTCGCCGGCAAGAACGTCAAGCGCAATCGCCGCGTCGCCGGCGTCGTCATGTTGCTGGTCGGCGCGATCGTCGGCGGGTGGCTGAATCGCAGTGCCGGCGGGATGGCGTCGACGTTTTGGCTGGCGGCTGGCATTAAGTTTTTGATCGGGTGTGGGTGGTTGGTGTGGGCGCCGAAGAAGCAGGATGGGAATTAGGGCTGTCTGGCTGACGGGTTGGTGGTAATCCGAGGGGTTGTAAAGGGGGAACTGTAGGTGCGCTATATATAGCGGGATCTGTCTCCTTTAGCGATTTCATTCTTAGATTTAGACATAGAGCGGTAGATCGCGGGCTCAATAGACCATTGTTACATTATCTAGCGAGAATCACGCAGTCAAACCGCGTTTGTACTTTCCGCCGACCATACAAGAAATGTATGTCATCATTCATGACCGTCCATTAATTTTACCCAACCGTGCTGTAAACGCCAAGATAGATCGCAGGGCTTTCCTGGACTAGAGGCGGGCTCCGAAGCGCCTCAGCTTTCACCTATGTACACAATATAGTTCCGCTTCCAGGGCTCTCTGTCTGCTCTCTGGCCTAGCAACCGAGTCAGGTTTTTCAAAAGGCTGGAAATCTGCGATCAAAGTACTGCCGTGATCCGCAGAAAACCGTCATTCAGTATAGCTATTGTACAATTTGCTCTCGCCGCTCATCCTCGTCTCATCGCTCTCCTTCCGCTTCCACAATCCTTTGAGGGGTATTGATGCGCTTTACTCGCGCATGGGACGAAGAGGGCTCTGGCGGGGGAGCATCATCGGGGGGCCCCGAGCGCGGAGCCAGGCGTCGTTGTAAGGACCTTCGGTACGGATGACGCTACCGATGGACATGAAGAGACTGTTTGGAGCACTATTTGTTAGCACGGGCTTGTGTCTGTTGACTGATATCGACAAGGGAAAAGAAAACAACGTATAGTCCAACCACATACCCGAAAGTGGCGCCCGAACCAAGCATGTATTTACCCAGGGTGCGGAAGACGCCGTTGGGACCGGCTCCGTACTGGAAGATGGTGACAGTACCTAAGACTTGTTAGCTGGATCTGTTCTGCGCAGTTTCTGACCCCTTCGCATGGATACTCACCGATGATGAAACCCATGATACCACCGACAGCTGGCGAGAGATGAGGTTTAGCTCCTAACCCTAATGATTTTGACAGCTCAGAAAAAACTAAGGCTTACTGGATCCCATCAGAGCACCCATCTTCACTGTAGAACTCATTAGCACCTGCTCATAGAAACCTAGAGCAGCCAGACCCGTAGGTCGGTCCACTTGTACTGCGGATTGACTGAGACTTACTTTTCTCGAAGGTGTTGGGCCCGTGGGCCTGAGGGGGACCAGCAACAACAGGCATGATGAATGGCAAAGGAAAGAAAAGAGATTAAAACTGAGGTAAAGAAGAATAGGTCAAGGGTACAGTACACGAGAGTACGAAGACACTGCCGGCGTCGAGATGCAAAGCGAAGCTCCAGCGCATGCAAAGCCCCGAGGCTCAGGCGATGCCCACCACGTGATACCGCCTGCCTGATTCGGCACGGCGCTCTCTTTGCCGGAAGATGACATAAGCCACACGGGCTACATCACGTGATGGGGCCTGAGGCGGGTGGAGGTTAGGGGAGAATGAGCAGGAGAAGAAGGAGGACAGAAGCCCGTGAGCTGATGATGCTGTGGGCTCCCTCCCTCTCGCTCGCTCGCTCGCTCGCTCCCGCTTCAGTCGCCGGTTAACTTACCACACCCATGGGATCTGGTCGCAAACCCGTGTGATCCTAGTGCGTCGATTCATATTTCTCGACGGCCTCAGAGCCCTTGCACGGCGGCAGTTCCGTCCTGCGTGTGCCTTCTTTTTACTTCTGGGAAATCCTCTCCCTTCGCTGGACCGTTGCTTCTGCCGGTCGCTCCTCGGCTTGGGCCAAGACCTTGACGTCTCCCTGGTCTCCTCCCAGCGCTTTTCTAAATCTCCCGCCCCAAAACCCACTTTAATCTGATCTCGGCCCTTTGTACGAGTGAAACACTGGTAAGTCCAATGTGATCTATCTCTTAATAGAGAGGGGCTAAGGGGCCCATCGGCTGCCGTTGCTGCCTCGACTCCGAAGGGGCTTGGTGTTTATCGAGGACTCGTCCGGGAATAATTGCTAACGTGACCTCCTCCCAACAGTCGTATTGGGTTACAACAACCATCTTTTTATCGGCGCGCCAGCCATCGCTGCATTTCTTTCACCTCGAGGATCTGTCGCGACGAGTTGGAGCAGTTGATTGTCGCCCGAGTGAATATTCTCTCTTGCCCTTATTGCAGTCACCGTTGATCGGACGAGCGCCTATGTGATAAACCTGCCGAGCTACAATTCGCAACACTTAGCGCCTCCCTCCAGTGATCCTTCTCCATGACTGCTGTGGCATCACCACCTAGCGTGCAAACGGGGCCTCGCATGGGATGGTTCGATACTGGTAACGGAGGACAAGGTGCTTTCTCTTCAATGGACGCGGAAGAAGTGTCTCGGACATTTATGCCTCGAAAAACCGTCCAGAGATCGAACTCTTCGTCATCCCTCCGATCCAACGGCTCCGCCTCAACTACAGTGGCTCTTACTGAACAGAATCCGGGCGCCGCACAACCTGCGCCCACAAATACCTGGGGCAAGAAGAAGCCCTCGAGAAATCTCTGGCATACCTCCAATTCCGAGCCGCAGTCCCTACGCGGCATCCCACCCTCCTCTCAAGCCATGCCGGCCTTTTCTTCCGGCCCTGGCGCTTTGTCCGCGGTCCATCAGCCGTCATCCATTGTTCCGTCTCAGCATATGCTCCAACTCTCCCAGCAACAAAATGGTCTCCGCTCAGCGAGCGTTCCACAGGGCGACCCGCCTGCGATCTTGACCCTTCTGCCCATCAACGGTACCTTCGAGAAGAAACAAATCACCGTGCCTTTTTACCCGGAGCTGATACGCATTGGCCGACAGACCAATGCGAAGACAGTGCCCACCCCAGTGAATGGATTTTTCGACTCGAAGGTGCTATCACGGCAGCACGCTGAAATCTGGGCCGATAAGAACGGGAAGATCTGGATCCGCGATGTTAAATCGTCCAATGGTACTTTCGTGAACGGAAAGCGCCTGTCTCAGGAGAACCGCGAATCCGATCCCCATGAGTTGCGTGAGAACGATACGTTAGAACTCGGAATAGATATTGTTAGCGAAGATCAGAAGACGATTGTTCATCACAAGGTGTCCGCCAAGGTCGAGCATGCGGGCATCTATGCGTCGATTCCCAACATACTCGACCTGACGCTTGGCGACTTGGATCCTTCGGCTGGCAATGGCCTTGTTCCATCACCACTCACCCAGCCTATGGTACAACTTCGCGGTCGATCAGGTAGTACCATGAGCAACCGCAGTGCACAAAGTGCAGCGAGCAGCCAGTTCAATGCGATGCAGCAACAGCGTCAGATGAACTACTGGAATTCGCCGATCTCAATAGAGCAAGTGGTCAAGCGACTCACGGTAGGTGACTGTGTCCTCTTAGGGTCCGACCGAGGCTAATCAAACGACCAGAACGAGATGAAACAGGCGAAACAGCAATCGCAGGAGCTCCGGCAGACGGACGAGTTCCTCACGACTCTGATGAAACCCGGTCAGCCCGAGAAAGAAAAGGCGAAGCATTCACCGCCCGATACCAATGCCGCTCGCGCGATCAACGGCAGACCCAAAATTCCCCGCGTAGACTCGTTCTCACGGTTTTCCGAGCCTCCCGCACCTCCTCCACAGCAACCGCTCCCTGAGAAGCCGGATGCTCTACCTCGAAATGGCACAGACTCCCTCTCCCCTCTGAAGCGTTCCGATACCGAAAAACCCAAGCTTGGTGGCAGCTCGCCTGTCAGTCGTGATAACAGTCAGATCCTTTCACTGATTGAAGCATTGTCATCCGCCAAACGGGAGCTGGACACTCAAGGCGCCCGTGTCAAGGAACTAGAAGCCATGTTGCTCCAAGAGCGATCGGCTCGCGAATCCGCCGAAGAGAAGGCCAGAACTCTGGAGATGCGGACCGTTACAAATGGTACGCATGACACGTCTGTGTGCAGCGACGCCGATCACGAGATCACGCAAACTGTGCCGATGGATAAGTCGGTAGAAGAGCCTGCTGCCGAAGTTGCCGCGGAAGTTGTGACTGAGGTAGAACAGGCGGGTTCCCCTACCGAGGATCTTCAACATCGTCTGGAAACGATGATCCAGGAAATGGAAGAAATGAAGAAGCAAGTGACGATCTTCAAAGAACAGGCCCAACGTGCGGAAAGTGAAACGGCTGAAGCACGCAAGTCCCTGGCGGAGATGATTGAAACATTACGACGAGAGCGCGCGGAGCGTGCCGAGAGCGATGCCAAGATGGAGGCTTCAGGAACAAACCATGTTCCTGACACCACGATTACCAAGGCGGAGAATGCCATCGAGAAAGATGCCTCCGAGCCTAGCGACCCACGACTGCAGCCTGCTGCATCACCCCGCATGAAAGAAGACGACACTGCAGATTCCAAACTGGCCGCGCAGCCTCACCGACATGACGTTCTGGAGCAATCCAGCCCATTTGCGTCAATGCTGGGAGTCGTGCTTCTAGGAGTCGGATTAATGGCCTACTTGAATGGATGGCAGAAGATGGATAAATGATAAATCTCCTGCCACCATGTTATGTCTGTTTTGAGCGAATGGCTTGAATTGTTGGTTTATTTCGAAAAGGTCCCTTTTATCCCCATGTTATTGCACTCTGGAGACCGTCTGGTCTACCGCCATCCAATCCTTACTGAGCCCATTTTCTACTCCCGTCATATTGATTTCTAGTTCTGACCCCCTTCTCTCCCCGTGTACTCTGAACCAACGCTTCACAGGGTCTCTGCGTTGGCTGTGGGTTTCTTCTTCTCTATACTCGCACTTTCTTGCGGCCCCCTTATATGCAGTTGTTGTTTTGCATACATAACCTGCATGACTCTCGCTTGCCTTTCAGTTGTTAGATATCATTTCTTCGTTGGTGCCCTGTTGATCCAGTAACGAATCCCTGGCCGCAGTGGTTTATTTTCTGTTAATGTTTTTTTTCTCTTATCATGGGCAGAAGCAGGTCATGTAAGGCATACCCGCCTTTGTGTATTAGTCTACATAGCATTACTTCCTTGAGTTCCAGCGCGATGAATGCTTAACTTTCTCCCCACGGTCCTTCGTGTATATTTCGTTTTACAGAAGAATGCGCTGGTTCGACCTAGAGGTGCGAATGGATTGAACATACGTGGAGTTTTGCAGTTGTAGCTGTAGGTGTAGCTGTAGTATAGCTTGCGGCTTGCATGGTCTGCTGATGGATATCCGTTTTAGAGCGATCTCAAGGAATCAGCATGTCTTGCTGTCTCCTTTGCGCAGCCTGACATGCCATGTCTGTTAATGGACACCACATATCGACTCAAAGTGTTCGGGGCCTTTGACTCGATGTAACCTCTGTATCTGCGGCGTGAGGATACGTCCGGAGAGCCGCCGAAGCATCCAAGGTAGTTGTAGGTATGTACCGTACCTGACGATGCTGCATTCAGCATTGATCTCATCATCTCGCCAGTTTCTTCTTCTTGATTCCCAAGCCACCAAGGAATCCTACTTCAACCCCACCACCACATCCACCATATTAACCCACCTCGTCCGCGACTCGGGCAACTCCTCTTCCTCCTCCTCACCCCCATCCTTATCCCCACCATCTCCCTCCTCCTTCTCCCCCGGAACATCCCCCTCCCCCTCCTTCTTAACCACCAACCCCAACCCCCTCAAAACCCTCCGCCGCTTCTTAACCGCCGCCTTCGACAAAACCCGTCCACTCCCCTCCTCCACGCCCGTCTCGACCTCCCTCCGCATCCTCTCCGCCCCCTCCACCACCCTCTGTTTCTGGTCCACGTCAACCTCCACATCATCCACCACCAGCACACTCCCCGTCGTCACGGTAACCCGAAACTCCGCGCCCCCCGCCGCATCCCGCAGATACTCGCCCACCGCCACGGCCTTCGCCATCGCCCGCCCCGTCGCCTTGACATGCACCTCCTCCCGCCGCAGCGCCTCCTGCACCTGCGCCACTTTCTCGGCGTGCGTTTTGCTGCTGTGCCGTCCCCCTTTGCTGGCGTGTAAGCCGCTGGTGGCGCGCTTCTCGGCCTGCCGCAGCAGCTTGCGGACACGCGTCACGACGCTCATTTTCGGGGTGCTCGTCGAGACGTAGATGGTTTTGGGGACATTGGCGCCGGTGTACGGTGTTGAGGGGGCTGGGTGCGGAATTGGGCGCTTGGTGATTTTTGCGTCTGTGGCGAGGGGGGTTAGTTCTGCGGTTACCATCGTGTTGAGGGTTGAGGGATTGGGATTAGGATTGGGGTGGTGGGATGGGAGTGAAGGGGGGGGAAGCAGCGTACATTTTGGGAGTTTGGTCATGTTTTGGTTCTTTTTGGTGAAGGTCAGGGTTTCTTGCGGTTTCGTTGGGGGTGGTGGTTGGGGTGACATTTTGGTTTTGAGGGTGTGGATTTGGTTTGGGTGTGGTTGTTGATGGGGTGAGGGAAGGTTGGAGGTAGGTGGTTCGATATTGGTGAGGAGATAAAGAGGAGAACTTGTTGAAATTGTTGGTTGTTGGATTGGACTGGGTTGGATCGCGACGGACATCACTTCAGGTCGGGTTGCTTTTCTTTGATGGTTGGCCGCATTGGGTTTAGTGGGGTTCTCTTATCTTATCGCTTGCTTCCATCCACTTTGCCGATGCAGTATCAATGTATAAACTTCGTCGAGGAAACAACATTAATCCATCATAGCTGATGTGTACGTGAAAAGGAGACTTTCATCTTCCATTTTGTGCAACTAGCTAGCTTAGAGCAATAGATGCCTATGGCACTCTCGTCAAAAGCGTTTGTCTGAACGATATATGCCCACCTCTTAGGTACTGGTCCTTCCCCGTTCAACGTGCAAGCGCTAGCTTCACAACTAGAACCCAATAGATACCCCAGTGCCACGTGTGTATCTCCTGACGGTAGGAATCTGTACTCTGTCCTAGAGCATGTTTTATTCTAATATACTAACAGTCAAACCATATGAGCAGGCTCTTTCTTGGACTTTTCACCCGTCTTGTCTCGAACAAGCCCCCAACATCCTTCCCAGAGCCGCACACAGCATCGTACCAAAGCCTGCAAGTCCCATAGATAAACAATGTAGGCAAATAACGTGATCGGCACGCATAACACAAAGAACCACCAGAATCTCACCGCATTCTGCCCCAGCAGATCGATGTTCATCCCCAGAAGACTGGAGCTGAAGCTGAGAGGTATGAACAGCGTCGCCAGCAGAGTCAACTTCTTCAGTCGCTCTGACTGCTCAATGGCTTTGTGCGATTCCTCAATCGTGGCTCTATTCATTGCGAGAGTGATGCCTTGGGTGCACATCTTCGACAAGTCGACACAGCGTACATACAGCTCCTCATAATCCTCAAACAGCCCGGCTGCTGCAAACGCACCGTTGGCACCATGGCCACCGGCCATCGTGGCTCCCTCGGATTCCGCGCTGGGTCGGCGCGTACTGGTGCCAAGACGACTCGACGGCACGGCATTTTTGGGCAGCGGACTCCACGATCTCATTCCACTGGAATCTGGAGTGCTTCGCTCGGCTAACTTGTGGAGCGCACGGGTACTATCTTTCAGCTGTCCGGCATGGCGCTGGAGCATGTTCGAGAAGAAATGCAGCACCCCCAGCGCGTCGTCGGCGGGCACTCCTTCGGCAATGGCGTTGATCTGGGCCTGGATTCGGGACTCCAGGAGGTTCAAGAACTGCACTTCGGAGAACGCCGCGTGCGCGAATAGAGGGATGCACATGGCGAGCGGATCCTGGGGTGCCCGACGCGCCAGATTGACCATTGCGATCAGGGAATCGTACTGCAGGGGAAGGATGGCCGTGCTTTGCTGAATCTCTGCTGAAGCGTTCGGGTCGGGGTCGAGACGGTTGGTGGTCGTGCGGAATGCCATTTTGGGATGGTGCTGCAGGATTGGGAGTGGTGTGGCTTTAGCTTCGATGTGTCTTGTCCATGGTCCTGCCTGGGATTTCTCCAACGGTCTCCCTTGGTCCATCCAGGCTATCGCTAGAGGGATTTATTGCTTATCAGCACCGGCCACATTCTCTGATTATGTGACATCGCGATCTTACCGACCCAACCTCTATCTGTTCGTGTGACATAGAGCGAGATCCATTGCTCAATCACAGAGAAGCGCGGGCAGATGGTGGCGTACTCGCGCACCAGGGAGTCTCCGCATCCCACTCGACCCGATCCCAGCTGCTGTATCTTGTAGGTGCCGAGCTCCTTGAGCTCCTGAGCCCGCTGCGCCTGGAGATCCTGTCTGCCGAAATCGTCGCGATGCAGGATCGTGCTCACACACAGTCGGTAGATGTTCTCCGAGGAACTCGAGAGTGACGGGAAACTGTACGAATGCCTGTCAATACTCGCGGACAGGAAATCAAGATGGCGTCGGAAGAACTCCGGGTCGATATTGTATTTGCTCCCGAGGACCGACACCCAGGATGGCGATACGAAGCCCCGAATGAAGATCATCTGCCCTAAGCCGTGCGCCAGCCCCGGGGTAGCAGCGGACAAGGTCTCGTGTTGCTCACAGCTATACGACTGCACGCCCCACCTGCTCTCGCTACTATCGTATACTACAACTAGATCATGAGACTGCTCGGCCGTCGAAGCGAGGCAGGTGGCATGTTCTTCGGCTTTCGGATTCACCCCGCGATCTTGCAGCATCCACTCTGCGATGTCTACATAGTTGCTTCCGGGGAAGACAGAGGTGCTCGAGTACCTCCTTGAGAGGGAGATGATGGCTCGGGTGTAATTCTCAGGTGTAACTATTGAGGGAGGCTGTATGAGCTGATAGGATGCGGTTGAGGATGGAAGTTTAAAACCCACGGGCAGATTTCCGACGCTCCATGTGTCCTTCCATGTGCTGTATCAGCCGTCGACTAGGGTATAACTAAATATCGGAATGTGTTTGTGCGCTGGCATTCAAGTCGAGATGTCGTTCGAAGCTTTTCTAAACCGAAGACTGACAACGCCACTCATAATTGGCAGAACTAATTCTCTTTATGCCAATCTACCCCCCCTGCATTCAACGACAACACTGCCGCTGGCACTGCACCTGCAGACACATTGATCTGCCACTCCAAATAATGTGAATTCATCAAAGACGCTAATCACAAAAGGATTGACCCACCTTAGCGGCGGCCTCTCAGCGCTAAAAAATGAGCTTCTATTGGCCTGATTTTCCTGTTCTGTGGATAACTTGCTACCTAGTACTTACATTACGCCTCGGTCTGTGCTGCGCATCGCCTTCAACTTCACTATCCAGACTGTTTCATGGTCGATAAGGGCCATTATAGTATACTGTTCAGTATCTGATCGACACATGGCGTCCTAAGTACACTTGCAAGTGACGCGGTGAAGTTGCCTCCAGGTGACCTTCATCATCCCACTCACCGTCGTGCGGGTTCAGCCACGCTAGACGATCTTGGGTATAGACGCTAGTTGCTAGGGGCATCATCCAACTAACCTAACACTGCACGATAGCTGTCTCGACCCAGCTCAAAATCTCGCTCAGATTGTATCCCTCCAACTGTCCCGTTCTCCTATCAACTGGGAGCTACCTTTCACACAGTAGCCATGACTCGTCTCAAAAAAGAGTAAGTCCTCTTCCAGGTGATATCCTGTGTGAGGAGATCATCTAGGTCATTCATCTTCTGCTCGACGAGGCAAAGCCGTATAGTACTGTACACCCTATGGGCTAACAGATAACACCCTCAGCTTCCCAGCAGTCCGCGCCTGCATCTTCGACATGGACGGCCTCCTCATCAACTCCGAAGACATCATCACCCAATCTACAAACAAACTCCTAGCCAAGTACCACCGACCGGCCTTCACTCGAACAATCCGGGCTCAGCTCATGGGCGTCCCGGACTCGACCAGCAGCGATGCGTTCCACGACTGGGCGCAGGTGCCGGTCCCCCGCGAGCAGTTCGCCGGCGAACTGCACGAACAGATGCGCCGCGATTTCCCCACCTGCACCCCACTACCTGGCGCCGAGAAGCTTCTATCGGACCTCAGCCGCGCACGAAGTGTTTTGTCTTCCTCCTCCTCTTCTTCTTCTTTTCCTGCCGGGGACAGAATTGCGCTAGCCTTGGCATCCAGCACCAAAACCCAGACTTACGAGCTCAAGATCACACGGCCAGAAACGAGGCGTCTGCTGAGCTTCTTCCCGCCGGGTTGCCGGATTCTCGGGGATGACCCACGGGTGCGAGAGGGGCGAGGGAAGCCCGCGCCCGATATTTACTTGGTTGCCCTGCAGGCGTTAAATGCGGCGGCGGAGCAGGGTGGACGGCCGATCTTGCCGGAGGAGTGTCTGGTCTTTGAGGATAGTTTGGCGGGGGTGGAGGCTGGAAGACGAGCGGGGATGAGAGTTGTTTGGGTTCCGCATCCAGATGTGGCGATGGAGTACCGGGGTAGGGAGCCGGAGGTACTGGCGGGGAGATCGGGGATGTCTCGGCTCGGGGACGAGTGGCAGCTAGGCGAGATCGACGATGGCTGGGCGGAATGTATACCGAGCTTGGAGTGTTTTGAGTCTGGGAAATACGGCATCCAGATGTCAAGCTAACCGCTGCGGAAGTAGCACGGTGTATAGCCTGGGACAACCTACCCCAGGGTATATGACTGTAGAGTAAGGTATTAGTTTACAGCACCGTTAACGAGAACATGTTGGATCAAGTCAATTTGATAGAACCGAAGACGATAGACGATGTCTATAACTGCAATGCAACGTAGTTGCATCAATACTGAAGATGTCCAGCCGATATCACTCAGGATGGACCTCAAATTAGTGGCCTCGAAGCGGAAGCATGCTGGTACTCGAGAGTAAATATGTCCCAGTAGTTATGAATGGTGTTGATTAGAAAGGCGAGTATGTCGCCGAGGCAGCCCGGTGCTAGGTGAGTCTAGGAGAACTCTGAATCTTCTCTCATTCAACATAGCATTTTGATGGGCAAAGACAGTATACCATGTGCTTGCCAGCTTCACCACGTCGTTTTCATCGAAGCTCAAAAACATAATGCAATGAACAGTCATTTGATGGAAGTCCGTCGATTGTTGAGATTGCGCGTGTGTGGTTGGCGACTAGAGGCCAACTACCCCGCATCGTCCCCTGCGCCATTGACAGGGATCGGAAGACTTCACCATCCTCACCTCGCAGACAGTTGAAGGTTCAGACTGTCTGGCATCTCTCAAGACTCGGTACACTGCAGGGTTATAGCCATTATGACGAGCCTTCCTCCCCATGGCCAGCTTCGGACACTGCGGGACCCGATCAATGACTCTGAGTATGGCATTGAGTAAGCAGAATGCACTCTGAGTCTCAGTGTAATCCGCTCACTAACCTCAACCCAGTATTGTCCTCGTTCCAGGTATCGGGACAGCCTCGCCAGAGAACTGGCCGTTTGCAAACCAGAAATGGCTCGCCACCCTCCCTGAGTCCGCCATTGGGGCACGCATCCTCGCATACGAATACACTTCACCATTTGCCGGAAGCAAATCCTCATGGGAATCCATGTTGATGCTAGCCTACGATTTCTTGCAGCATCTCAATGACTCGCGATCACGACTGAGGTCAGGTCTGGTAAGTGGACTAGTCCGTTAGCCGTCGTTACCCGCAAGTTCTATGCATGATCACTGATGTCTCCTCTACAGATATCGAACAAACCCGTCATGATTGTCTGTCACAGCTTGGGTGGCATCATAGTCAAACAGGCATTGTGTGTTGCCAATAAGCAGTTCTTCCGGTTCGAGTCAATTGTCAACGCGACAGCTGGCGTTATATTCCTAAGCACACCGCATCGCTACGACGACGGAGCCACGAGCTGGAATCGATTTCGAGACATTTTAGAATCGACCACCGGCAAGACCCTCAAGACTTCGGCTGCGCACACTGAGCAAGAAGGGTCGATTTTGCTTGACCTCGCAGATCGATTCGAAGGAATCTCGTTCCGCACTCCGATCTTGTCGGTCTATGAGCTCCGAGAATCGAAAAATAGCTCGACACCATTGCTTCCGAAGTATCAACAAGTCAGTCTCGGAGATTGACATCTAAGCTGAGAAGCAAACACTAACTCATATCATAGTTGGTCACCAGAGAAGCTTGTTCGACTCATGCCCCAATGGAAACGGTCATCGGGCTTAACCTCAATCATCACGATACTTGTCTTTTCACCAAGAGCATTGGCGGCGAAGGCCTACCCGGGTTAAACAAGTTCATTTGCGATACGATGGAAAGCGCCGCGCAGCTTGTTGCCCTTCGTCTCGAAGACCGTAGGTTCTGAAGGATTCTCAAGCCGTAATGTTGTGTTAGTAACCGATGCCAGAGGAGTACCAGTACGCAACGATGAGCGCCTACTCGCCAACGATGAGTGAAGCGCCTTGGAGAGGTGAGGGCTTGATCTCAGGATCTAGGAAGGTCACTACACTAACGTCACACAGCTGAGCAATTCGAGCAAAGTGAATGGCCATCGAACCAAGCAACTGAGTGGCCGTCAAACAAAGCAACAGAAGGAACCTCTCTCGGGGGATTTGAGTTGTTACATCCTGCCACACCCAAGGAGATTCGGAAGATCCTCAATCTACCCTGCTATCTCCTCAACACGCATTCTGCAAATAGTGACTTTTGCGGTCGCGAGGATGTTTTGGAGCGTCTCGCAGCTGAACTCCTACCCTCGAAGAATGTCGTCGCAGCATCAAGCACTGGATTGCGACAATTTGCGCTATGCGGGTTTGGTGGGATCGGCAAGACCGAGATAGCCCGCGAATTCGCTCGCCGCCACAAAGCGCGCTTTGACGCAGTGTTCTGGGTCGTGGCCGATGAGATCGCGAAGCTTGATCACAACTACCAACAGATCTCGCTGGCACTGGGCCTCGAAGATGCATCGGATTGTAAGAGCCAAGTCGTCAGCAGAGAGATCGTGAAAGGGTGGCTTTCCAGTCCCCGAAAACAGCTAACCGGGTCGGATGAACTCCTCCAGCCGGGTCACACCGGTGCAGAAGCAACTTGGCTGCTGGTATTTGACAATGCAGATGACCCAATGGTGCTGGCGGACTACTGGCCTCAGGGCAGTGGTTCCGTCCTTATCACTAGCCGCGATCCACTGGCTATGAGCATGTTCACCAGAAGACCCTCGGGTTTGGGTCTCGGGCCGCTGTCACAGAAAGACAGCCTAGCCCTCTTCAACCACCTGACTACGATCTTCAACGAGCCGGAAGATGTGACAGCGCGACAGATCTCCGATGCGCTCGGCGGCATTCCTCTGGCTATCTCACAGATGGCCGGGATCATTCGTCGCCAGGACCTCACCTTGTCCGAATTTCTGGAGCTTTACACTGACCATGAAGAGCATGCTAGTCTGTACGAGACCAAGTTTGACACCAACATGATCACCTATCGACATTCCCTTGCTACGGTGTGGACATTTGAGAAATTGAAGCTCCAAGCGCGACAACTGCTCGAGGTGGTCGCATTTCTCGACCCGGATCTCATTCGCGAAGATCTATTGATGCAGGCAGCCGGGAAAATGAGTTGCCAGAGCGCACCTTACAAGAAAAGCACCTTTATCGATGCTCGATCCGATCTGCTGCAACTATCTCTGATCCAAAGAGACAAGAACAAGTCCCAGATATCGGTGCATCGCATTGTACAAGATGTGGTCTTGGCTAGAATGGAGTCCGCAAAGAGACACCTCATCTTCGACAAACTCGTGGAGATCCTTTGGGTGAACTGGCCGTCGGCTATGCCCAAGCCATCCAAGGACCCCGAGCTACCGCAACCCAAATCGAGCGGCGGCAGGCTATATGTCGGCAGATGGCCTGCATGTGCCGCAATCTATCCTCATGTTCTGAGGTTACATCAGCTCTGGCCAACCATCTCCTGTCCTTCCGAGACCACCAGTCTGCTTTTCGCAAAGCTTTTAACCGAAGCTGCATGGTCCGTATACCCCGTTCTTCGGAGTTTTCCTCTCCCTTCAGGCCGTCATGATATCTAACGCGAAGCAGGTACCAGAAGGAACGCGGCCGAACCAAGCATTTCGACGGCTTCTTCGACACCGCGCGCCGGATCTGCGACGCCTCCGCGCACCCGGACCGCGACTCCCTGCTCGCCGACATCCACTTCTGCCTGGGCGCGATCGCCATGGACGCGAGCGACTTCTCCGCCAGCCGCATCCACAAGGAACAGTCCCTCAACCTGGTGGCCGCGATCTGCAGCGAGCTGGGCACCGCCGACGAGCGGCTGTATCTCGCCACCGCGGAGCGGGGGATCTCGCGCATCCAGGACGGACGCTACGCGGAGGGCGAGGCGGACCTCAAGGAGGCCCTGCGCATCCGGAAGGCGTGGGGGAACTACGTCCCGCGCTCCGGCGAGGCCAACCTCAGCTGGGCGCTGCTGGCGCAGGGCAAGCTCGACGAGTGCAACGCGCTGCTTCTGGACAGTCTGGCCGGCCGCGAGAGGGCGCTGGGCAAGGATGATCGTGAATCGGTCCGCACGGGCCTGATCCTCTACGCCCTGGGCAATCTGCGGGCCGCGCAGGGCGCGTGGCAGGACAGCTTCGCGTATCATCAGCGGGCGTGGCGCCACATGCGCGCCACGGTGGGCGATCGCGACTTCTACACCGCGAACGTCGCGCACAAGCTCGCTGAGCATCTGGTTCGGGTCGGTCAGAGCGAACAGGCGATGTGAGTGCCCCCTCCCTCCTCTTCAACGAAAACACCTGAACATGCACCCCGTCTAACACACCCTTCCTTTTGGTAGTGCAATGATCAACACAGCCCTCGAGATCTGGTCCGTCGACCCCCACGCGCACAAGAACGAGATCGCGCGCACCACGTTCCTCAAGGGGAAGGTTTTCGAGACGACGGACAAGCCCCAGAAGGCCGCGGTTGCGTTGCGGGTGGCCGCCCGTCTGAGGAAGGAGATCACGAAGGAGGATCGCGATGTCAAGAGCTTGACGACTGAGGACTTCGATGCGATTGTGGCGTTTTGGGCTCGTTGATCCAGTACCCCCGTCTTAGCCGGGATTGGTGGTAGAGCCGGGACTTTGGGCAGCTGGGGTCTTTTTCCCGGCGATGTATCTCTATTTCGTTGTTAGGCATCTTGGAAGGGCCCAAGAATACTTGTAACTATTCGGGTCTGATCTAGTAGGTGATTCCTAGAGATTCAGGTCAACCAGCGCGCTCCACAGTCCACAGTCCACAGTCCACACACACGGATAGTCACTTCACTGGCTGGACCCTGAAGGATGTCCGAGACTGTGCTGTTGCTGTGCTTCTTACATCGAGTTCATCGTCAGGAACTCCTTCCTCTACTGCCTATCTATGCAGCGCTAGTTCTGAATCAGGGGATGTCACACTGAAGGGAGTAGTAGTATGTACGTACATCGGTATCAGACCACCACTAGGCCAAGACGGGGCTTGATGCGCCCTAGGGCGTCTCTGCCCATACTTCTTTCTCCCCCGCACCCGCACCCGCACCCGCGGGCGATATCCTCATGCTTCTCCACCCGCGCATCTCTACCCCGAATTGGAGATCCCGTGCTCAATACAATCCCCAGTGATTGAGGTTCCGATACACTCTGCTTGCAATGCTTACATTATCGCAGACGAGAACGAGAGGGGATACTGAAGTGTTCACTGAAGTATATCAGATTCCTCTTCCTCTTCTTCTGCAGGGGCCTCAAGCATTGAGAGGATTTGCGATGAGTCACAACAATGATTTCTCCCAGACAATGCTCTTCAACGGCTTGCTAGACTATAGACGCAACCAAAATTTCTAAATCCCTGTCAAATGCTGAATGAAAAGTGATGATTGATCTAATCACCCGAGCCACAGCACCAACCCACAATCTAATAAACCAACGCCCCTTATATACATACTACATGCCACACAATTTCAGAAAACCGCCTGCTCGCGCGGCGGCTGCTCCTCCGCCGAGGAAAACAACGCCCGCGTCCGGCTCATGGTGCTCCGCTTCTTGCGGTCCTTCTTGCGGTCCTTCTTCTTGCCGTTCTCCACGGGGCTCTGGTTCTCCTGGTGGGCGCGGTGATCCTCCGACACCACCACCGGCTGAACCTCCGCGTAATCCGGCAGCGGCTCGTCGGCCACCGGCTCGGGGAGAGGGTCCTTCTCGGTAGTTGGATCGGGCTCTCCGGCGGTGCCAGAGGGCGGCTCCTCCTCGTGGATGACCGTCGCATAGCCCCATTCCCTCGTGCGGGCGGCCCAGCTCCCCCACCCGTTCCAGGTGTCGTCTGCGGCGGTCTCAGGCGGCCCAGCACGGTGGTATCTGTCATCGTCGTCATCGTCGTCGTCGTCGTCGTCGTCGCGGGGGATGGGCTCCTCCTCCTTGATTGGCTGCTCGAGGGGCGTGTACCTCTCGGCTGGGAGCTCTTCTCCGTATTCCTCGGTGCCAGCCGCAGCGGCAGTGGCAGCGGCAGTGGCAGCAGCAGTGTCTTGAAAGTCCTCGACTGGTTCCTCGGCCACCGAGGCGGGATAGCCCTCCGAGACATGGGCACTGGACGGCGGGCGCTCCTCAATCATCTCCTCCGCAAGTGCATCCAGATTGTGTCGCTCATACACCCCTCCCTCCGCCTCGTCCAACTCATCCAGCTCCACCGTCCGCTCATCCGGATACTCCTCCGCGATATCCTCCAACCCGGCCACGACCGCACTCCTCTCACCGCCAACCCCAACACTCCGCAAATCCTCATACCCATCCCGCGGCTGCAACCCACCCCCGTTCCGCATCGCCCGCTTCTCCAGCTCCGCAATCCGCGCCTCATAGATCGAGACCAGTGCCTGCACCAAGAAGCGATCGAACCCCGTCTCTGCACCGAGCAGGTACTGGAACCGGGGGCGCTCGAACAGATCGCGATCCTCGACGAAGGCATCGGCCATCTTGCCGCGGACATACACCTCGAAGAACCAGGGGTCGTAGTCCGGGATCGTCGACCCCTTGCCGCCGCCGTACACCGTGCGGGCCACGCCCAGCACGTCGAAGATGCTGAGGTGGGTGTCCAGCTTCTGCAGGTACTTGCGCGCCAGGGTCTGCAGGCCCAGCAGCTCGTAGCGGGCCGCTGCGCCGTAGACCAGCACGCTGCGCCGGTACTCGGTCTTGGTCCAGTCGCTGCCGCCCGCGGGCCGCAGCGTCTGGTAGCTGCCCGTGTGCAGGTAGTGGACGACCGTGTGGATGAGGTCGTCGTCGACGTCCGGCAGCGGGATGCACGGCACCGTCTTCGTGATGAAGTGCGGGTACGTGCTGAGGATGTCGGTGAAGATCGGCGACAGGCGGAGGTAGTACTCCGGGACCGAGTGTTTGCGTTCGTGGGGGCCGAGGAGGAGGACCACGCGGCGGGATTCGTAGGGGCTGTGTTTTTGAGAGTCGGGGGTTAGGGTTTGTTCTTGTTCCAACAAGGATAGGGGCCGTACGAGGACTCTGGCTGGTCGTATTCTTCCACCTCAACTTCGACGGTATCATCGCCGTTTATTCGGGCGGAGGATGAGGTCGATTTGGGTGGTGCAAATCGCACGGATGGGCCATGCGTGCCGTTACTGCTGGCATGGCCGTTGCTTTGGACGGCCATTTTCTTTCTGGGGTGATCAAGTGCCGCCGCTTGCTTGCTGCGTAGAAACCAAAACCTAACAAAGCCTCGTACTCGAGAACTGCTGTGGAAATTCGGAGAATATTCTCCTCATGCTCCAGACCGAGGGGCAATGACAGCTTATACCCCCCCGCAACCGTCGTGATAAACAGAACCCAGTTCCTGCCTTATGAGCTGTTCATACATCGTGGAACCAATGGCTGCGCTCCACATCAATGACTAAGGTACATCGACGGTGTTTCGCCTTGCACCATCCATGGATACCATTGGATGGAAGCACGTTGCCTGACATCGACGGTAGTCTGCGAGTTAGGCTGGTTTCAGCGAGGGTGGGTGTCTGGCTTGGATGCGACGATCGGGTGGTGGAGGTGGTGAGTGAGCTGGCGCGTGGGATGCGGGGGTGATCGCTGATGTGGCGTCGCTGTCTGCTTATCATCCCATCCGTGCTGGATGCCGCGTGGTGGCTGGGAATGATATTCGGTACCCTCGATTAGCAACTTGCTCATTAGCAACTTGCTCGGGGGCTCGGAAGCTTGATTTTGTTTTGCATGGTAGTGTAACGGGACGCTGGAGTTGAAACCTTGTCGTGATGCTTTCTATTGTTATCGTGTCTGACCAGCTCCCTGTCTGATTCCCGGTCACATCTTCGCTTAATTTGCCGAAATGGCCATGTGCTTCTTAGGTCTACTGCAACTAATCACCCTTCGATCAACTCGTAATCACGACGCGGTCGCACCAGAAAGAACATTGGCAGCGATAATCCAACCAAAGCAGCAGCCACAATGAACGGGAGCCCAGTGTACTCAACCCCAAACTGCAGTCCCAAAGCGAAGGCACCAGAATAGATCGGCCCTGCCAAGGAGGTGCTCAGAACGTGAAGGATCGTGAAGATCGAATAAACCACACTGATATCCTCGGGGGAGATCGTCATGGTCACAAGCGACCGCAGGGCCGAGTTAAGTCCTCCCGTGGCGGATATCAGAATGACCCCTGCATATACCAGATTACCAGATGACTCGATGTCACTAGAGCCAGAGAGATTGCACATACCTATAGTGGAAATCGGAAGGGAAACACCCAGTCCGAGCAACAAAGTCCCCAGGCTAAGCATCGTTGCACTGGCAAGGGCGATTGCAAAATCCGTCTTATAGGTAGTTGAACCGGCACGCGAGAGAAGCATCCGACTGATCCGCGGAAGCACTACGATGAGACACACGAACCTCACTGCCTCCCCTAACGACCACAGGAAGTTGGCCTGTTGCGTCTGTTAGCTTATTCATACTCGTACCAGAAGTAAAAATCCCTCCAACACATACTCGAGCGAATTCCCAGTTGTATCTTTTCGAAATGTAGAGCAGCAGAGCCATGGGAAGCGAGTCTTCCCCGAGCTGGCCCAAGAAGGACATCCCCAGTAAGATGATAAGCGAGGTGTTGCCATACACAACCCTCGCCCCTTGGTGAAGCTGCTGCGCTATCTGATTGAGACGAAATCTCAGACTGGCGTGTTCCTTGATTGAAGAGTTACTCTCCTGAGACACAGTGCTCGTATCGTCGCCACGATACTGTCCGGGGTTCAATGCGGTGTTCTCATCCGGAGGATCTTGAGTACTGGCTGGATGTAGCTCTGACGGGGTGGTCAAGATGGCAAGGAGAAGGCAGAACAACCCCAAGAGCCACGGCACCCAGACATGATGGCTCATGAGGAGCGAGCTGCCGAACAGGGCCAACATGGCTGCTGCAAGCGCCATGGCGCGAATGAAGAAAAAGGTTGTGGTTCGTTTCTCCTCCGTAGCGGCTTCAGCAGCCAGGAGATGGATCATGGTGATGATAATGCCGGGACCACCTCCAATGATTTCGAATACAGGGGCCAGGAGAATGAGGCGGATTGGAAACGTGTTCGAAAACCAGCAAATCAGACAGCTCCATGTTTCTTCGCAAAGGACACCGAACAATGCTAGTCGGAGGGAGAGACAGCGGCCGTATCGTTCGGCGAAGAGGCTCCATGGGATCACTAGGATGGCTGTCACAGGTCAGCACAGAGCAACGAGAAAGGGGGTGAGAAAGAGGTTAAGTTGTACTTGGTAGCGCCCCTAATACTCTCTCTGTACCTTTGAGGAAGGCCAATTCCTCTTGAACCGCTTTGTCTTTGCACCTGGCGCTCGATAGCGGTGTGGTCGCGTTATCTGGGAGAATCTGATCGCAAAGAATAGACTCGTAGATTTGGGTGCGCGGGCCCGACTGGATGTTCTCGCCTAGGAAGAAGAGGAAGGCTGTCAGGAGCAGGGGCAGAAGAAAATGTGTCGAGCGGGGAGGGATGATATGTTGTGCCATGGCTGGATCTTGAATCAAATCATGGGAGAGAGTGGGAGAAACAATTGCTATTTGATTCCGAGGTGGTGAGGGAGCTCAATCACGCCTTCGGCGATAGCGCGGACTCCGGTCATTAGGAGGATTGTGATCCTGGTCTAGATTGAGTACTAGGAGCAAGTTATGTCGCATTACGAGCAGTTTCAAATATGTTCTCTGCCTCGTCGATATGTCCAGAAGCAAAGCCTTCTCGTGGTATCTCACAAGGCAAGGCTGCCTAAGACCACTTGGTACTCGATATATTGTAGTCTTACCTAGACTAAACCCTTTCCACAGGCATTATGACCGCATCATAGATTCTATCCTCTGTATCTCTTTCATAGCACCACAGCAGCTGAGCCATTCTCCTTGGCTTGACTTTGGGCTTGGTCCAGACCTCTCAGTGATTGGGGTCTCCGCTAAGAGAGGAGCGATACTTACTTGAAAGCGTCTCCGCCATGTAGTGTGGTAGTCATCGATCTCATCATCCCGCATCTATAGACATCCCGCTTTGCTCTGGAAATGACAGCCAGGGAAGATAGCAACGTAAGTACAAATCCGATATCGTCTGAAAGTACGCAACAATTAGTTCCTCAATACGTACCATGCAGTGCTCAGCAACCTAGAGACAGAAAGCAACTCATCAACATGATACTCCGCAAAGATGTTGCTGGGGCTACTTACGTGATCACACAGACAACTCCGCCACGGATCCTCGGGGCAGGCATCGATGCCCTCATACGCAAAGTGATCTTCGCATTTGAATTGCTACACCATCATTAGCATAGACCCCCTCTAAATGTCTTGCTCTTTCCTGACAAACCTCTGCCTTGCAAGTCAGCTCTATGCTGGCGCATATATCCAGTCGCTCGGTGGCGGTGGGGATGGCTGCTGTTATTGTGGCGAGGAGAGTAAGAAGAAGGGCTACAGTAGTTCTCATCATTATCCCTTTCTTTAAAATCTCAGGCTGGAATCGAGTTGTGGTTAGAGTCTCGGTCCGAAAGAGAAAAGGATACTAGGGAAGTTGGGCTGTTGGCAGGGCATTTTGTGCGAAGTGTTCGAGGCTCCTTTTATATGATTTTCGCAACACAACCCCCTCGTGCAGAGATCCAGGCACCAAAACTCCCCAGAGAATTAAAGTTGTGAAGAAAGGGGCCCCGCACCCCCTAGCGAATTCCCACGAAGCAACTCTTCGATGAGATCGTGCAGTCTAGCCCATGAGCCCGGCCCCCTTACCTCAAACTAGGCTGCCAGCAATTCACAATTACGTTCGACGAGTTGCAATCAGAGGGACCTGAGAACTGGTGTCGAGTGCCAGAAAGGCTACTTAACCATAGGAAAAGAATAGGGATCTTTGACCCCTTCGATCAGATAAGGCTCGATTTAGCATCCAGATCGACCCTCACAGTCGCTCGATATATGGCTCTCCAAGTTCAACCATGTTCGCGATAACAGACCCCATGTTTCTGAATGGTCAGGTTCAGCCCTACGGGTCTAGCAAAGCAAATCAGATAATGGAACGCTGTGGCAGCATGAGAAGTGTTACGATCAAGCTAACTTATTTAACTTACTGTACATCACTATAAGGTAGTGAACAACGGATGGTTCGGACCATCTACTTAGCAGCAGCTCGCGCACTCATTGCTACCTAGCTCCCAGATTATACACATCCGCCGAATATACAAGCTGACACTTCAGAGCAAAGGGACAACACCTTCCCCAAAGCTGCAACCGCCCAGTTGACGTCCGCCAGTACGCGGCTGTTTCCCGACAAGAGGATCAGCAGAAGTAACTTACCGAGGACAATGCCAGCAAAGAAAGGCGCAGAAAGGATGTTTCTGTCTGACTGCTAGGATTTGCGTCTACATCATAGAAAGTCCGTTTCCTACATGCAATGGATAGTCGATCCATATCAACTCTTGACTCACAGACACAGCGCATGAGCGACCCAAAAAGGCCAATAATTATATGCTGTCTTATTGCTCGGATCTACGCACTAGCAGAAATTCTAGAAAATATTAAGCCCCAGAAACATGCAGTCACGCCGCTCTTTTACTATATCGGTGACTCATCATATTTCATGCATAACTATATGCATGAAGCTTGCCGATCATTGCACTCTCGACCATCGACCTGCTGTGTCTTGTAAGCAGGCCTGTAGTCATATTTTAAGGCTAAGCCTCTTGATAGCCTCCTATTTCAACCCGACTTCACCTCCTCATTTGTCCTCCCCAATCTACCTTGATCATCAGTACCCTTATCACAGCAAAGCCAACCCCACCCACCACGAAACCCGCCCTCGCCCTCCTCGCCCTCCTCACCGTCGCAGCAGCCAGTCCCACCATGCGCTTGAAAAGACAGCAGACCGACTGCTCCGACGCCAGAGATACATGCTCCACAAAGGTTGGTGCTGAAGATCCTCAACGGGTCCCGACTGCACCGATCGATCATTTCCTCCGCTGCTGCTGACAAGTGTCTTTCTGAAATCAAAGGAGACAACATGTCTGACCCTCGAGCCCCAGCACGGTTTCAGCTTTGATGCCACGCTATGCCCTTGCGAGAATGTAAGTAAACTGTATACTTTCCTGTGGGGGCAGCCAACTGCTAGGGTTGATGTGGGGCTCACGGCTAATCTTATCATCCCAGCTTTACGCGGATTGTCGGGTACGTTATAGGTTTTCATGCTTGCGATTAGTTATGAACTTTTTACTCGAGATTTGACCTATGTCGGTAAACTTTTTATGCTGACCTCTCACACAGAAGGATGCAGGATGCTAGTAGATGGGACCAGTCGCATGGACTGGAAACCGCTCGAGGGGGGCTTTGAGTCCATGTCGTGGCTACAGTGCAGGAGCATGTTCGAAGATGGTGACTGGGAACTTCTGTAGCCCTTCCGGGAGGATATGTTATTCCTTGTGAGATCACCATGCTGCAGTGAAAGGGTTGAATGGGAGAACTAGATAGAGGTCTCTGAATGCGGGAGAGAGCCTTCGTACATCCCAGCAACTCCGCTCCCTACTTAGGTACTGAGTATACACCGTAGATTTGCATGTTACAGGTCACATGCCATGTTTATGCCTCGAGCTCACCGACCATTACGACCTTTGTCGGTCGTCATTCCGCGTGATTCCAGAAGCCCGGTCTCTATAAAAGGTAGCTGCATCCTCGTGCCAGCGTCTACCTTCTACTGCCCAACTTCATGCCCACCTCTCAATCTCCCATTCCCATCCTCATCGCCCTGACTGCAGCAACGAACAGAGAATACCCACCATGAAGTTCACGATAGCTCTCCTCGCTCTTCTCACCATCGCCTCAGCCACCCCGACCACATTCTCGAAGCGCCAGGTTGACTGCGCTGCCGTGATAAGGACATGCACTGCCTCGGTTTGTCTAAGTCCCCCCCCCCTCCCCCCCTCCTCTACCCTGAGTATGCCAGCTGAAAAGATCCAAACCCCCACCCTTGCCGTTCTTCTCTGCTTTCTGCTGATCAGCTTTCGCCCGGCGTCCAGGAGAATGCTTGTATCCAGAACCGGCCAGCGGATTGCCGTAGTAAGTTCTGCTCGTGCAATAATGTAAGTGAGCTGGATTCGACTCTTATCGCGTTCTGAAAGGGGGAAGGGGAGAGACGTTGTTCGGGTTGATTTGCGTGCTCACCATCGATTTCTTTTTTTCTCTATAATAGGTTGCGGCGAATTGTGTGGTACGTTGAGTTCTCCAAACTTGTGCTAGGCGTTGCAGCTTCGTGGTGCTGAATTCTTCTACAGATGAACGCCGGTTGCTAGTGAAGTAGGGCTAGTCGCGTACTGGAACCGCGAGGACGGTCCGGATCGGGGTTTTTGTTCGAGTCTGGTACAAAAAAAAAAAAAAAAAAAAAAAAAAAAAAAAGCTGCCGGGTTGTCAAGCCTCTGCATTAGAACCTATGGCTCGGATTGCGTACACAGTTGAATCGTTGAAAGATAGTTCACATTCTTTAAATGTGGAATCTTGAAAGCCATGTGCTAGATCCAGAGTATTGTCGAAATGCTCTTTTGCAGTGTAAGGTATCATGAGGGAAGGGAATTCAATCGATTCCCTTGAGATCTGGGGAAGAGTGGGCACCCTTGCTCCACTCGTTACAGGATATCAGACGTCTAGTGGGTGGACGAGTTGTGTGGATTGGCAAGGGTCTTATGTTTGTTCTCAAAAGGGAGGGGAGGGCTGAGTCTTCGAGGTTATGGCATTCATGGGTGCAGGGGTTCATCTGCTCGAAGACGAGGATTGAGGTAGTGTACTACACTGTACACTCAAGCCCGCTTGGCACAGCGGAAAAAGCCTCAGGCGCTGGATGTTTTCTCAAACTAGAAAATATGAATTGGAACTCCGTACAGCATTGGTCAGAAGCTGTGGGCAATTAGTATGATGTGACTCACCTTTCAGAGCCGGACTGCTCTGCTTCGTTGGATACTTGGGTATAAAGATTGAGCTTTGCTAAGTTGCCTCAGGTAGCTTATCAATTCTCCGAGCCTATCTTTAGATAGATAGAAACTCTGGATGGATTAAGCTTCTAACTGCTTTTGAATTTAAGGTTATGTGGCAAAGAAATCTAGAACCGGGGAGGACTAAGCCATGGTGGCGTGGTGCGGGGTTTGGTTCTCTGGTTGGAAGAAGTTTGGACATAGATAGTACCTTAATTCAAATATGGATATTATCTTTCATACCCAGGCATCAAACACTGGGATATATATACAAAAGGATTCGATCATAGATCACAAAACGTAACTTCGTACTCATCAATTCATGAATCGTCACATAAACATAGCTTCGCTTCAAACGGAAAAAAATGAAAAAGGATGCAGTGTATCTCGAGTTGTGACAGCGGGTCGTTGAGGTTGGTTGAACATTCGATCACGACTCATCATGACTTGGACTATTGCTAGGCCACAGCCTGTGCTTGCGGCTGGAATGTTGTCGACTGCGATGCAATCAACCGTCGCAAGCCGAACATGGATATATGATGGCGGCTGTGTTTGATGGAGGGTCGTGGTTTTTCGGAGGCACGGTTGGAGGACGACATGCGCACCAGGCCATTGTCAGGCAGCGAGTTGTGGTTGTCGGCGTCGCGACGTCGCACCATGGCTTTGACGGCCTTGGTGATCTGCGTGCGGATGGGCGTGGAGTCCGAATCGCGCCGGCTTGTAGAGTGGCGGTGATAGTATTCTCCGTCGTCATCCTCGTCGTAGGTTTCGCGCCGATATCGTGCGTTGTCTTCTTCTTCGGCTGCGACGCAGCGACGGAAGATGTGGTGGTGACCCAGACACCGACGCAGGTCGGGGGTTTGAGATTCAGTTTCACGCTGGAGTTTCCCCCGGGAGATGGCGGCCAGTTTCCCTGGGATGGCCGGTCGGTTGGCCAGGGGGCCAAGAGTGGAACTGAGACGCGGCGCGGTGCGACGGATGACCGCCGCGGGGATGCGGAAGAATTCAGCTGAGGAAGACATGGAGGGGACGGGAGTGTGTTTGGTCAAGATGATACTCGGTATTATTATCGTTCATTCGAGTTGCATGAGAAGTTGGGGGTCATAGACAAGCGGGCCATGATGGATTTATATTCCTAATCTTGGATATTCCAAATTTGAACCGTGCTGTGGTCGATTCTGTCGATATCGTCAACATCATTTCTCGAACCTTGGACTGTGCAGTGGTGGTCCGTGGTTGGAGCATGCAGACAGGCGTGTGAATCGCAGAGCTCCCCCCGCTGTAACGTCAGAGCTGAACTCAACCGACGCGCATGTGGAATGTGAGCAAGTTGTTTGGGGCGGCTTTTCTCGGTGCAGTGCTTGACTGCTGAAGTGCTTAGTGAGCGTGGCGACCAACAGCCTTGCCCTGCCCGGCATTCTTGATATCATTGCGGCGCCCTTGTAAATGCTTTGATTCGTAAGCCCCTCCCCTCCCAGTTAAGCTGCCCCACAGTAATCACCTTCTTTTCCTTCTTTTCTCCGCAAGATGGAGACTGCCAGTGAAGTATGGAGAACGCATTGGCTCGTCCCTTTTGTCACGTTTCATAATCCCCACGAAACCTGCTACCGGCATTACAACCCGCCGCTCAAAGATCTCACTACCAGTAGATCGGATGGTGAGTGATCGAGATCGAGTAATCTAGTGCCTGATCACTCTCCCCCATCGCATTGCTCCACTTTAATTCTCTGCTGCTCATAGACTGTTGGTTTTCAATTTCTTGGTGATGTCTTGTAATTGCGAACGCCGAACGGTCCCTTTCCCATCCAATTATGGTATAGCAGGGCTCGAGTCCATGACGACGACTATCATATGCACCGCGTAAGGCCATGAATTCCAGATGACTATCCGCCCCCTTGAGAATTGTCAGGGTTCATTCTACAGCCCACACAGGCCGCGTGTCGACGACGGTAGAAGCAATGGAATGAATGACCGACCCGATAAGATAGTCAAAGCCATCAATGAAGTAATTGACGGTTGTCATCCTTTGAAGCTCAATTTGAAGCTGTGGTGGTGTCGCGCCAGAGTCGGCAGTTTGGAACGCAACACCTGTTCCTGTCCCAGTCCCAGTCCCAGTCCCAGACACTCACCAAATCTCTGGGTGATGCCTGTCTCCCAGCCGTGGATGCCTTACGGTGCCATTCCCGTCAAGGAGTCAGCCACCCGTCAGCCACTGGAACTTTCCAGTGACTCTCATAGTGACACAGATGTAACTATCCCTCCACGCTTCCAACGAGACGATCATGCACTTCTTACTCGATTGAACCTTCGTCTTCTGACACCTGTGACAGTGATCAGCCCTATTGTAGAGTTGAGATGACGTCGTGGCAGCGTCGTTTTGAACTGAAACCCCAATGATTGTCGAGCTGACACGAACCACGAGTTTAGATTCCTTGCTCACAAAGTTGGTGATCATCACCAATCGAATGAGCTTGATGATCCATGATGCAATAATGAGGCAAATTTCCGAACTCTATTCTTCAGGTAGTATAAGGTATAGAACAGAGCCTCTTTTTTCGCCGGAGTGCGTCTGTTCTCTTATCATGCATGGTAATAGAAGGTGTCAGCTGCTTTCAAGAAGGGTTTGGACCTCGATCAAGGGCCTTGCTTGACTCATTTCATGAGAGAGCCATGTTAGCAGGCACATGTCTTGCATTTCTTGTAACAACATCGAAGCTTTGTGTCTGTACGAGCAGATTCTAGTACCGTCTATAAGCCTGCAGGTGCTGATCAATATCTCTGATCAATATTCTTGATGGGATACCGTACGTATCTGCATGTCTCTTTAAGCATGCAGCAGATTCCTAAATCGGATGAGGGATTTTTCGCCGAGGATGGTGGTCTGCATTGCAGTGATCGTGCCTTTCCCACTGGAGCCACTATTTCACCATAATATGCCTCGATTGCTAACTAGGGAATTCTTTGAACCGACTCAGTGGGCGCAATCTCATTCCTAGTCTTCACTCTCTGTCCAGTTCTCCTCTCCCTGCTACCCTCAAGTGTTCAAGGCATTTCCTCTCGAAACATAGCAGGTTATCAGCATCAATAGACAATACCACATCACATCAGTCGAAGCTGATGGATTTGTACTGCTAATACTGCGCATCCGCGCGGCTTCTCCGTGGGCGGACGAGATAGACTGTCATGTGCTGTGATGTACTTCTCTTACCCCGATCTCAATCACCATGAACTGACCCAAAAGAGGTCGCATAAACGACATCAAGCAATACCGCGCGGGAGAGCATCCCACTGTTCACGATGTGATGTTGGCTGTCCGGCTCTTCCATTTCTCTCATTTGGAGAAAGAAATCAACCAAGATGCAGGTGGAAATGCCAAGACTGCAGTGCGTCTAGCAGGCTAATTATAATATTTGCCTCGGCTAGTTCGAGCGGGGACGCGTTAATCACATCTACATAATCTGCAGACCAGTTATCAGAATAGATTCTCCTTGCTCATACATTGATGATGCTGCGCAGGCCACGGAGGCTACATCGACCAGCCAAGTAGTCCCCTCTAGCAAGAGATATATATCCCGTTTTCGTGTTATTGAGCACACAGCCCGGTGTTAAAGTGTCCGGAAGCCGGCCATGAACATGAGCTGAGGCTTGCGGTCAAGCAGTACATCCTACTCGATAATTCCTCTCCGCAAGAGGGGGATGTCACGATCATTGGGGCTCATGCAAATGCATTTCCAAAGGTGTAGCTAAAACCTATTGATCGTGCTGTCTTGTCTACGCAACTCATTCGTCGCTCAGGAACTATTCGAACCTCTTTGGAATGATATTCATGAGATACTCCGAAGTCATTAAAGACGCATTCGATCCATTTGGATTGCGGATGTTGCTCAGCAGGGGCAGAGCGGCATACTAAATGAATCGATTTTAGGTCATGATCGTGGGTATTCACTCCATGGATATTACTAACTGAACCATTCCACTCACTATCAATCACCTCTTTTTGGCTGACTGGTTTGATCATGGACGCGATCTTCTTTCCATGATCAACCAGTTCCAAGACCAGATCCCGCAGCCGCTTATTGGGATAGGTCACAGCATGGGTGGGATGCAACTGTGAGTCCACACCACGGTTTCATTCTTCGTCTGAAGTCATATTACTAAGTCTATCAGTGCTCATCTCTCTCTGCTGCACCCATCGTTATTCGAAGGTCTTGTCTTGATTGATCCTGTGATTGAGCGCGGACAGGCCGGGCGCAAATTCGCCCAGGCGTCCACGTACCGACGAGACCTATGGTCCTCCCGTCCACAAGCAATCGGGAAATTCCAGACCAGTCCGTTCTACCAGACATGGGATCCCCGCGTGTTCGCGAAATGGGTCCAACACGGACTTCGGGACCTTCCCACGCCACTATACCCCATTTCCAAGGAAACTGGGCCGTCCGCCGTGACCTTGATTACGACGAAGGCACAAGAGCTTTTCTACTACATGCGATCGTCATACCTCGACGAGCGATCCGGTCTCCCTCGCGGCTATCCCGAAGAAGAAATGCATCCCGACGACGTCGATAAAACCTATCCATTCTATCGCTCCGAGCCCGCGTGGATGTTCCGGCGGTTGCCGGAGTTGAAGCCCGCTGTTCTGTATCTATTCGGAGATCAATCGGACGTATCTTCGCCGAAGGTCCGTCGAGCGAAGATGAAGATTACGGGCACGGGCGTCGGAGGCAGTGGCGGCGCGGCTCGGGGACTGGTGCAAGAGGTCGTTCTTCCTTGCGGTCATATGGTTCCCATGGAGCGGGTCCGGGAAAGTGCCGACGCCAGTGCTTCCTTCATCGCCGCTGGGTTATCGGCTTGGGAGTGGAAAGTTTTCCGGTTTCGCGAGGCCTGGGAGCGAGTGCCCCATCAGGAACGGGTCAGCGCTGATCGGCAATGGGAGAGGGAAATCGGTGCTTTGCCTAGAAGGTCGAAGATATGAATCTGGGGGTGTTCAGGCTCTGGGTGCCAGCCCTCAATCAGTCAACAAGTGCCCAGTAGACTTTAGGAATCGACGATGGAGGCAAACGGATGCGGGCATGGTTAGAGGATAAGCGGGCAACGGACAGGAGTCTTGACGACTTAGACTGGAACTGCCCCCCCCCCCGCATGTCACTGACAGGGCGCGAGGGTTGAAAGCCGTTTGAACATCGGCGCCGGTAGCCATAGAGAATACAATAGCATTCTGACACAATCACGTATCTGCTTTTGCAAGCCATGGCTTTACTTTCACGTTTTTGTTCATCACACCGATTGGCTTGGAAATTGCGATTATATGCTCCCTGTTCGATCACTAACGTATATCGATTATGTGAGTTAACTTATCTGGCCTGGGTGATATTCCATTCTTCTGAATGTCAATATACAGACAGTTTCTATGACTTCTACAGACGCTCGACTAACTTGAAATGTGGTGGCCATAAGTGTTTTTACATTTCGAAAACTCTCACATGGCAAGTCCGCATCTTAGTTCTGTGCTGGCCGTCTCTTTCTACAAGCGGCTTTGGTTGCTGAGTGGAGGGAGTTTGCTCTGCTGCAAATGTCAATATATATCTGGAAGAGAGTCTTACGTGGTTGTTAAAGAGATTGTGTTGGTAACATAGATGCTCGCCTTCCAGGATACGCTGTTAGCACTTGCCGGAAGAGATGTTCGCGACTCCGGTGCTATGATTATTGTCTGATAAAAGTGCAGAGCAGAGGAGCATACTATACAAATTACTAGATAGACTACCACCATACGCTTGTACTGTACTTCAAGTTGTTGCGCCAGGTGCACCCTGATTGGGCCGGGATGTCCAAATAAGCCCTTAGCACCGGACACTAAAACCACCACGGCACCAAATCTATGCAGCCCTGAGCTGTCAACAAACCCGGTCACCCAGCATTTGTGCCAGTGTTGATTCTAGGCCCGCCCTTGAGCTCTTGTGCCATAGACCTCCACTAGTGATATGCCCCTAAAGCTATTGGTAAGAGAACTCTCCTCTGGTTTCGAAATATCACTACATAAAGCTTGGCTCAGTGCTTGGGCCTGTTCTTCACAGTAACAACCAACTGTAATCGACTAACTCACCTCTCAGTTTCACATCGATACTCTCCGCCTTTCTTGGCATCCCTCAAAACGAAGAATTTCTGATTGGGAAGAGAATTGCAAAGATACAGGTTAGTGCGCAGGCACAGCCTTCAACCAATTTGATATCTCATCTACACAAGCTCGACTAGCTGGTGTCAGCAACGCAAAACCAAGAACTTGTGAGGATAATCAACATGTCCGACCCCACGCCCAGCTGCACCGTCACCACCTGCCCGAAGCCCGGCACCCTCCGCTGCACCGTCTGCCAGCCCAGCAACGAGGCCCGCTACCGCGCACACTGACCCGGCCCAACCCCCCAAGGACGCACACTACCTCGAGCCCTGCCCGCTCCGCGACTACGGTAACTGGGGCAAGGAGCGCCAGGAGACCCAGGCGCGCCTGAACTGGGCGGGGATCTACGAGCCCGGCACGTTCTTCTCGCACCACGACACGAACGACTAGCACTATCACGTGTACGCGCCGGGGGTGGCGACCTCCCCCTCAACCCCCTCGCGGAGCGGTGTCTGGGCTGGCCCGTGAACGGCGACGTGGCCGTCGTGCGGTCGTCGACCATCGAGGTCAATCACTACGAGGACGCGTTCTCGGCGAATGACTTCATGCGCACGCTGGCGTACCACCGCGCGGATCGCCCGGTCAATGGCATGAGTGACCGCCAGCGGAGGGAGAGGGAGAGGTACGCCGGGAAGTTTGGGTTGGATGAGAGCTTTTTGCCGCCGGGTTTTCCATGATCCCTTCGGCGGTGGGTGTCTTTGGAGGAGTGGTTTGGGTGGTGGATGGGGGCGTTTGGGATCAAGTATACTGTGCTGTCCAAGGAGTTGGGGTTGTTGGGCTTAGTTGTGGATGTTCAGTGTGCAGAGGGCAGGGGAGGGTGCCGGTGCCCAGACCTGGACCTCAGATGCGGACCGGCTGTACAACTTCTGTTTAGGTACTGTACGATAAACTTCTATCACGTTCTTCACAGGTTGCAGCTGCAGCTGCGGGCACAGCTGAGCAGGGACCAGGGGGCCGCTTCAAGCGCGGTTAACCACTGCTGTAGGTAACACTTTGTCTCTTGTGGGATCTGCTACCGCGCTGCAAGGAATCCTATAGGATGGGATCGCTGGACCCCGAACAATAGCATCCAGCGATATACATGTCCATGAAAGCAATGGCCAACTACTGTACTGTACCTACTTCACATACCCAGATTCCCAAGTACCTACTTGACTGCAGTAGCTAAGGTCCAGTAGTCAAGTACTGCGCCTGCAGTTCCTGCAGTTCCTGCATCCAGCTCTCGCTCGGGGTAAATGCACCCACGAGCCTGCTGTCCGCCTCAAATCTCCGGGGGGGGGGGGGGGTTCATGTAAGTTTGTCCCTGGTTTCAGCTGCATCTGCTGAACCACGGGGGGAGGGGAAGAGTCTCACCGACTCCCGTCCGGTGTGAAAGGACCCTGAAGACTTGCAGCGCCGCTTGAGGGCGAACGGAAAAAGCTATCCAGAAGCTATGCTATTGCTGCTTTTGTTTCTTTCCTCGCTGAAGAATTTTCTTGTTGTTGCTTTTTTTTCTGGGCAATATGAAGACTTTCCAATTAAAGGTAGTCGTTGCACGCCTGTGAAGAATTAACCGAGCGATCTACACCTACGCGGAGTTTATAGGTAGTTCTTCCGAAGGATCTCGTCTGCAATTCCGGAGGGAACTCGTGCAGATGACGGGTATGCGGTGTGAAAGGGCTGGACTACTTGGTTGTTGTTGGTAGTGTGCAGGCTATGATTTCATGACGCTGGTTTTGACTAACTTACAAGCCGAAGCAGTGGTTTGGGAGAATACTGTACATCACACCACTCCAAGCAGAGCGCCGGGTGCCTAGACTAGGATGCGATGCGATGGCTTTTCGCTGCTGGATCATCCGTCGTCGGGTTGGATTCCCTCCTCCCCCCCCGTGTCGATCATGGGCGAAACTCGCGAATCGGGTTCTAAGCAACGCAGTTTGCTTGTACGTCAGTCGTTAGGCAAGCAAATATCGAGTGATATATTCTAGTTTCTAGTTTCCTTGGGTGTGATTGGTTGATTGTGAGTTTATTTGCGACAAGTAGACTTTCTCTCAGGGGGCGGGGGGTGACATTATCCATCGCTGTCGCAGGATTGAGGGCCGAGAGACTCAGAAAGACACCCCGTTGGTGATGGTGATGATGATCTTCCTCACCACTGGGACCCATAATTCTGCTCGGGATCTAGAGGGATTGGGAAGGCAGAATGGACTATCAATATGTCATTGTTTGATGCAGTTAACTACAAGTGAGTCACGCTGCTTCTGTCACTGACGGACTGGTTTTCGCGACCTTGCTTGCTTTTTTTATTTATTTATTTATTTATTTATTTATTTATTTTTTTTTGCCGTTTCGACTGATCAGGTTGTTGCGGACGTCCCCTCGTGGGACTAAAGTAATCTACTTATGTACCTACTGCTTAGTAGATGCAGATAGGAACCACCATCTCGATCGCGTCAATACAAGGATTGGACCAGGGAGGAAAACTCCCCGATCGGAGAGGGGAGGGTTTTGATGATTTTTGAGTCATGGTTGGAGCTGAAGATGGGCTGCAGGGGGCTGGCTGTCTTGTCTAGATCTATGTATCTGGTGGTGTTGGTGGGTTTGTCGCTCCACCTGTCTGGATGGCATCGCCCTCAACTGGAGTCCTGGACTGCTAGCAAGTTAGTACTTTTGTCGCCCAATTTACCTACGGAGTAAGTGAGACGAGCTGTAGTCTCGTGCACGGAGCGATGGTTCAACTCTTCGGAATGGAGTAGAGTAAGCATCCACCTCATTACACATCGCCCATCGATTTCGGACTCATACGGTCGGGACCGAGTATGTTTCAGGTCAGAAACAATAGCAGGCAAATCGGGTCGCGCCGTCCTCACGGTGGAGGATCACTGAGTGGAGGGGGAGATAGAGGGAGAGATCAGAGTCCTCAAGTTGCCGGGAGCTCCTTTTGCTTTTAGGGTTTCTGATCTGTGCCACTCGACCTACGCAATACCTATGAGCCTCATCAGTGTATGACGCAACTCACGATGCTATTTTGAAACTCTGTGATCCGTGTGTATACTGACGACGGTTGAGATTGTCATCGCCTTGTGCTATGTGTGTGTGTGTGTGTGTGTGTCTTGCTGTGTGGGGAGTCACTGTTTCTCCCATCGTGGATAGATTGCGTGTCCTGACTGAGAGCCCCACCGGGAGTCCCAGAAAGTCACCGGCGGGACCCTCAATTGAAGGAGCCTGACACCTGGATTGACAGGCACGCCCGCGCTAGAGGACAGCCTAGTCTACCGGATTCCTTTATCCTGAGTATCTCTGTCTGTGGGATGATCTGGCGGCTGAGTGACTGGCAGAGAAGATGATTAGGATTTCTCCAGATACAATTGATGGATGACCTGCTTCCCACGGAGAAAAGTCGCCCCTTTGAAGGGGAAAACAAATTTGCAATGCAGAGCGTGACCAAAAAGTCCCGTCCAGTGAGTTAGCCAGTCGTGTGTCTATTTTTTGTGCGGCAAATAAATCAGTGCGGCGAGACAAGAAAAATCCCCCCCTTCCCTGCGTGCGTTCCCTTTCTCCTCCCCACAGCCTCCGACCGGGCACGCAGGAACGCCTGGGCTCAATTTCCAGACCGTCCGCCCGTTTTGGGCCTAACAATATCGGCCCCTCTAGTCCTTTTTTAGGGCGGGATTTTAGTCTACAGTAGTGAGTAGTCTCATCCATCACCATCGGTTCTCCGGGTGAGGAGCGAGAGGAGTTGAGACCTGAGAGCCTCGGTCGGGGAGAGGAGAAGAGGAGAGAGAGGGGTTTGTTTTGGTTCAGTTTTTCTATCGTCGTCTTTTTCCGATCGGTCCAGTTCCGCTGAGAAGAAGCCCGGATGCACTTACGTGGAAGCCTGGCTTACTTGCTGCTCATGCTGCTGCTGCTCCCACTGCACACTACTGCACATACCTTATGCAGCTTGTGGCCAGTGTGCATCCGAGGAAAAAGGACCTGCGGACGGGAAGGGAGAGTGGTTTATCTTTTGCCTATTTTTGTTCTTGCTTGTTTTTTTTTTTTTTCTTTCTTTTTTCCTTCTGTCGCATTCGCACCGTGGGTTGTTTGATCCTCGGGTAAGGATTTGATTGGGATGTGCACTCGGTAGGCAGAGGGTGTCAACAAGAGACACACAGTTCAGACCAAGTCAGACAAAGAGAGGGACACAAGCAGTCCAGGCACGCGGGTGGTTCGGAGCAAGGACCGGAGAGTGGAAGTCCCATGCACTAAGTACTCCTCCGTTCTCATATGTACTTTTCTGTGAAATAATAATATCATAATAAAAATAATAACACCAGATTTAATGGACCAGAATAGATTAGAGCAGGAGAGACATCCATGGAACCGGGATTGATTGATTGATCGATCCTGGAGGAGGAGGAGGAGGAGGAGGAAAAAGAGGAGCCCGAGGGAATTGCACTTGCCCGGGAATGGGATGATAGCCCGTGACTGGCCCGACCCTTTTTTTTGCCCAGTTCCACCAGACAAAGTCCCGGCCCAGGCTGGAGCTACGCGTACCGGTAGAACGGCTTTCAACTACCCTCTCTCTCACTTACAGTCTTGCTCGCTCTGCCCAGACAACGTCTTCTCCACTCCATACACTAGTTCACTCCCTCTACGCTCATCCACCTCCTCGTTCTTTAAGTCCCCGACCCCTTCTCGATCGGCTGTCCTCCTTTGTTCCAGACACCTAGACAGACAGACAGACAGACATCATACCTTCCTTTCCCTATCGATCTCTTCAGTTCAGTCCTTAACACATCACACTTACGCCCTCGCCTCCCTATCCTCCTATTCCTCCCCTTGTTCGCCTCCGTTCGTTGCTTACACTCTCTACTGATTTCCTTTCTGTGAATCCAACAAGCTATCAGTCAATTCCTTAAATTCTCTCGTGATCCATCCAAAGTTTAAACTCCAAAAGCACCTACGTTAGACGCTGAATCTCGCTCCTAACTACATTGGAGCTCTCACAACACAAAATTTTGTCTATTTTGTTTGCTTGAAAGCAACCTTATCCGGGAATCGATACCCGCCTGTGCAACCAACTGCCATCTCTATCAATCTCTTCCCCGTTGCCCGATTCTGGATCTTCGCCCATCCTCGGTCTGGCCTTCGACTCCCAAATTACCAAATAGCCAAGAACTTCACAAAGAAAGCTAAACGGGGTTCCATCAGCTCCCCGCGCAACAGCCTGATCAGCCCGGTGGATCCCCATAGGAACGGTTGCCCCTCACACATCAGAAACCGAAGGGATATCTGCTCCTGTCTCCCTGGCCAAGGAGACTTTGCATCACTGATCGCTCGATCTCCAAGCGCATATCCGTGCTATGGAAAGACACGTTACACGCATTTGATGCCAGCCGTCATTGCGAGCAACTCTTGCCCTTTTTGACCACCTGCACGAACCATCACGTCGCACACAAGAACCCCCCCCCCCCCCACCCCCCCCGCCCACACAAAAACCCCCCCCCCCCCTGACCATCCTCTTCTTCCCGACTGGTCCCAGCCTTTTGGTTTGACCACTATTCTTATATCCGGCATCTCGTAGTTCTTCAGCTCCTCAGCAATAGGAAACATCCAATTTCTCTTCCATACTCGACTCTCGCCCACCTTGTCTCATCTTCCCGAACAATGGCACGCACCGAAGAACCGCTGGATGCCCCCGATGGCTCCGCCTTAACATGGATTTTCGACCATTGTCTTCGGTACCCTGGTACCTACGAGATCCCGTTGCGTTCCATGTATGCGTTGAATTGCAACCCCACGAGACAACAATCATCCTCAACTACCCGCCAGCCTGAAACAGCCTTCCACCGCCCGACCAATTCGTCTTCGTCCCAAGACTCGATGGATCTCGCTGCTGATTTCCGGGCCCAATTGAGCCACCAAATCTCCCGTCTGCCCTCGCAGCCATGCAACCTGCCTCCCAGCTTCGTCACCTCCTTCGTGCGTCGCTGCTTCACCCCTCAATTGGTAGAGGTCGATTTCCCTCAGGCATTGACCGCCTTGGACTACCTCAAAGACTTCGAAATCCGCCGCCGGAAGGAGGTGGCTGCCGCTTTGCAGCGACTGGGCGTCGAGCCGGAGGATGTGAAGGAATCGTCCGAATTCGCTAAAAAGTACCCTGGTGCCATCACCTGGCTCGAGTCCCTCAACTCTCGGGGTCGCCGCATCGAGGCTCTGTACACCCAAGTCTATGTTGGCTTGCGTCGCTGGGTATGTGTCTCGTCTTCTCATTACGCTGTCTTCTTGCTAACCAGGCCGCTTTAGACTCTGATTAACGAGATGTTGATGGAGCCTTTTAACAAGGCCAATTGCATCGCAATGCTCAACACATTGTTCCCCCCGGTCACCGACGCAACGGTACCTCCGACCTCGTACCTAACGCCTGACCATCTGAGGTCTCAGCGCGATGGTTTCTTCCGGTACATTGCGGCCGTGGGGCGCAATGGCCCGGAAGTGCTCAACGAGATTATCGTTCAGGGCGCACTGCCCGGGGATGATAATGGCTGGCCTGTAGTCCGGGATGTTCTCGATCGCTACCTTCGTGCGGCCTTGGACATCTACGATGACTGTAGCACGGTCACAGGGCTCTCTAGTTTTGAAGAGAGTACTGGATCTCAGACCCGCGGTCACAAAGGCCGCAAGGTTGACTCCGGAATCAGTTTCGGCTCAGCGGAGAAGATTCTCGCCGCAGGGGGTGAGAGCAGCAAGGAAGTCGAGGATATCCTCGAGAAACCTCTGCCTCCACCTCCCACGACCAGGCACAAATCTGGCTCTGCGTTGGAGCGGCTGACTCGCGAGCTTCGCAAGTTGGGCGAATCCGGCAAGGTCAAAAGTCTCAAGAAGATGAGATCCACGAGTGCTTTGGCGGTACGGTCCGAGAACGTGCCCAGTCGGTCGGAAGAAGAGTCTCTCTTTGAAATTGATGAGATGAAACGCCGGCGGCTCCTATGGGAAGCCTCCAACCGCAAGAAAGCCCATTCAAAGCAGTCGAGCACGGACTCGCGTTAAGGCTCTTGGTGCGGTACTACTACCTGTTCACTCACTTATTTTCTCTTTCATTTTAGCGTTTTACCACATGCCTTTTTTCCCCTCCACCAAAAGCAGGAAAGACAAAAGCCTGGATGCTTTCAATACTGGTACATGTTTGGAGTCTGTCAGGTTAGTCATGTTGGCGTTTTCAAGAGG